GCTCAAGTATTTTATAAATTCTGGATATAAGTCCCTTATCTGATATGTTATTCCCAAATACTTTTTCCCAGTTGGTGGCTTCCTTTTTTACCCTGTTGGAGAAGTTTTTGGATGTGCATAGGGATTTGATTCTTAGAAGGTCCCATTTATCTATTTTATCTTCTCCTGGTTGTAGATCTTTTAGGATACTTGGAAGACTGTTTATGTTGTGGATTAGGACTACTAGAGTTCTTCCAAGCTTTTCTTTAATGAGTACTGAATCTTTTTAAAACTAGCAACACTTTAAATTTTGAGCTGTGCTGTCCAAATGAGTAGCTATTAGCCACATGTGGCTTCTTAAACTTAACAATATTTAAGATTAAATAAGATGAAAATTCAGTTCCTCTGTTACACAAACCACACAATTTAAGTGATACTTGACACATATGGCTTAGTTGCTACTGTATTGTAAACCATTCCCATATTTGAAGAGTTCTGTTGCAAAGCAAAGTTCTAAAATAAAAAAAAATCCGAGTTTTAAAGATCATTAATCTAGTTCTTTGTTCATGAATCATGAATCAAGTTGTTTGATCAAGAACAAGTTCTAGTTCTTATGTAGATTTTGTTGATTTGACTATATATTCTATCTTTCCCTCTCAATCCCCATACCCAATTCTAAAGTGACATCACAAGCATTTCATTTGCATTAGAAAATTAAATTTGCTTAATTTGAGAACATATCACTATTTTAGATAATTAGGAAACTATTTTAGTTTTATCAAACCAAGATTGATGAATCATTCGTCTTAGCCCTTACCCTCTTACATGTCCAATTGTGTATTTAATGAAGAAAACAAAAAAAATATATCAACAACTCTTGTGATTTCATGTTTTAAACTACATTTTTAACTTTGTAAAAGTGCTCTGGGTTGCAGTTAGAAAGAAAAGTTATTTAGAATAAATATGACGTTTAATGAATCTTAAGTCGCTGAGGAGGAAAAGGTCCTATTCCAATTTTTTCAAAAGCACTTTATTCATGTTGAACTTTAGCTATTTGCCAAAGCTTTGACTATCTTATACTTAAGTTAAACTTTTTCTGATGTTGGACCATAAGTGTTAAATGATACTTTACTAGTGATTACTTTTTAAATTAAGCTCATGTATTAAGCTATAAAGTGACTTGAGTGCATTGTAAATAAATCCTGTAATAATGAAGTGTTTTAATTACATTCCCTAGTGTGAGCATAGAACTCAGTAAAGTTTTTACTTAAATTCTTACTATGTTCAGGTTTTTCCTCTAAAGTTGAATCTAAGTGAAAAAAAAAAGGGGAGGGAGTTTTAGCTTTTAAAGTCATTTGAGCCAAATTCCATGGCTGTTTTCCCAGTTAGTGAGATTTCACTGCATTTGCAGCAAGCTAATTGCTTCTGCTAATAAATAATCTAAAATCGATGCTGACAGCAGTTAATTGGCACAGAGATTTTATTTTGTAAAGCTCTTGGCTAACGACCTTCTTTAAATTAATAGCATTAAGTGCTATGAGGAAATAAATCTGAGGAATTGCCTGTCATTTGCTTGTCATGTCTAATAACTTCCAATAATGATAGCTGATAGATTTTTGCACATTCCATTATTGAAGTTGGTGCATGTAATTATTCTCCTCATTATATGTAAACAATTAGCAATATTTGGTATTTCCTTGCAGTCAAGCCCTTAAATACAAATAACATATTAGAGATTAGAAGACATTTTAACATCTGAATTTTAATTATTTAATTGTAGGAAGTCTTTAATTTTATCTGGTGATATTATGTACTGTTTATTTTAAGTCTTAAAAACTTGTTTTTTAGTAGGATTTACAAGAAGTCTGGTTGTGTGTTTTTAAAATATGATAATTTATATAAATTTTTGTTTGTAGCTTGAAGAAGTGATGGAAAAAGAAACTTATAAGACGGCTAAATTAATTCTTGAGAGATTTGATCCGGACTCAAAGAAAACAAAGGTGAGGCTCTTATATCGCTACTATTTTATTATATATTGCGGGTTGTAATAGGTTACTGTAATAACATTATTATAATTGACAGGACTATGAGCCGCCATCTGCTGGAGCAGCTGTAACTGCAAGACCAGGACAAGGTAAATAACTTTGTAGAAACTGCTGCTGCTGTTGGAAAGATCCATATTTATCCAAGTGAGTTCAAAAGTGTGATGGAAGTGTGTAAAACCAATGTAGAATGCTTTTCTGTTAGTTTAAGGTTGATCATTTGGCATTTGACTTGGAGTAGGTGGCAATTATTGTATTTTAATATTATGGAAAAATGTTGCTCTGTAAGTATGTCAAAATACTGATTAAGGTGAAATAGAGAATTAGTTTTGATTTTTTGAAATTTAATTATTAAGACATCAATATTTTAAAATGTTTTTCTTTTTAAATAATCTCTAAATAGAATGTTGGTTATTATGAAAGTGTTTTTTTTTACTAGTAACTATCAAGGAATTAAATGAATACGTTTGTCAAATTTGAAATTGTTTCCAATGTAACACTTTATTTGGCTATAAAATAATTTAGAAAAAAGAAAACAGTTGTTGCTACATAATAATGTTAGCTCTTTCATTTTGAGGTTGCATTGCCAAATTATTATGGAGTCTGTCACTGTTGTATTATTAAATATAATTTATAAAAAGTGATAATTTTCAATGATTACACAAAATATTATCAAGACTGGCATTTGAAAAAATATTTGTGAATTTGCGTTGGCTACCTTTTTTGTTCTTCTCTCTTCTCTAGAATCTAATAAGGAAGATATGCTGTAATACAACATCTTCTTTTAAAAGAAAATTCAATTTTAATCTTATAAAACATCAGAACTCCTGCATGGCTTATCAAATTGGAATGATATTTGAAAGTATGAAGTGTGGTTGTCTCTCAGTATTTTTGAGAGTTCCAGAGCCCTCCAAGGATATTCACATCAATGTATACTCAAGTGCCTTATATAAAATGCCAGGAAAGTCTTCATATAACCAATGCACATCCTCTCATGCTTTAAATAATCTCTAGATTACTTAAAATATCTAAACATAAAATATAAATAGAACTATATTATCTTTCTTAGCCTTTAGGGCAATATTTGACCACTTAACTGCTTTTTAGAATCCATTCCCCCCCCCCCCCCCGCCACTTGAATATTTTGTGTCTATGATTAGTTGAATCTGAGCATGTAGAAAGGTTGACTGTAAATCCTTTCATAACTGTTCAAAAAGTTCATGGATACTAAAGAAATAATTATAGTTTAAGGTTTTCTAATCTATAAGGCGATGTGGAAAAGAGTTCCCTTGGTCTAGTTGTAAGGAGTTGCTCTGTGAATGCAAAGGCAAGTAATTCAAATTCACCAGCTGCTTCTCAGGAGAAAGATAGACAGTCTCCTCCTGGGAGATATATAGCCTCTGAAAACCCACTGGTGGTAAACTATGAGTTAGCTGTGACTCAGTGGCACATAACAACATGTAGAAAGAACCTTGACTTTTTTGGTATTCTCTTGATGCCCTCTTGTTCTGTAACATCAAGTTGGAACTGACTCCCAGGTTTTCAGAGGCTGTAAATCTCACACAAGGAGATTATCCATCTTTCTCTTGTGGTGCAGCTGATGGACAGCAGCACAGCTTCTTACTCAACTAGACCATCATAGCTCCCTTCCTTTAGTTTTCCATAAATAGGATTTTGGCCAAT